GTCAGAATGCGGGCCTCTTTAGCTCTTTGTTTCTTCCTTTTCTCATGTGGTCTTCATTTACCATGGTCTCCTATTCCTTGTTCTCCCTCTCTTTTCTTGATCCAGCTAGGATCTCCCGCTCTCTTTCCCTCGACCCTCGCCCTTCATTGCTCCCACTCATGTCCAGGCTGTTCATGTAGATCTCATCCATTTCTCCGTGTCTTTCTTGGGGTCCCGTTTTCCAGGTAGCCTCACAATGCAGAGCAAATTCCAAGAGGTAGGCACAGGGCCATAGGGTCTTCTGCCACCAACAGTGAAGCTAAGGGATGAGAACTGTCCCTTAGGTCTGGCTGTCAGGAGGTCGTCTGTGACGATAGGGGGAGCAATTTCAGCAGAGCCAGAAAGGTGGAGGCCGGAATGCAGAGGGGTGAACAATGAGTGGCCCAGAGAAACGTGGCCGCAGAGCTTTTCTCAGGAAACAAGACTGCAAGCTGGAGAGGTCTCTCAGGGGTAGAGTACCCGCTCTAGAGTGTATGAAGCCCAGATTTGGACTCCCCGACACTACGCCAAACAGGGCATGATGGCGAAGGTGGAGGTAGGAGGACCAAGAATTCAAAGTCATTCTTGGCATAGTGAGTTCAAAGCCAGCCTGGTTGACATGAGATACTGTCTCAGAGAAAAGGGGAAAGGATGGGAGGGAAGGAAGGGGGAAAAGAAGAAGAAAAAAAAGAAAGGAGCTGGGTGTCTTGGCACATCCTTTTAATCCCAGTATGTTGGAGACAGATCCCTGAGTCTGAGGTCAGCCTAGTCTACCATAGCGAGCTCCAGGCTAGCCAGGGTTACAGAGTGAGAGCCTGCTTCAAAAACAATAGACAAATAAAACAAACATTTAAAAATATGTAAAAAAGAAGATAAAGAAAAAAAAAGACTAGGAAGGAAAGAAAAGATACTTGTGCCCGCAGATGGCCAACGCCCCTTAGATGATCCACAATGTTAGTTCCTAGGATATGTTTCAATAGCTCACGGGACCTTCGCCTTCCACTCTTCGCTGGCCGAGGGGCCCCGAGCTGGCGCCGAACTTTGTTGCTTTGGCCTCCCAGGCATGGTTTTTACAAAGTTCTTACGGATGGAGCCCTCACATCCCTGACATGAGCATACAAAGCAACTGACT